CACAAATCTAAAAAGCTTCCGAACATTTGCGAGCTGATGTTTGGGATCCGTGTACCAGGATTTTCACCGAATTTCCCCGCATAGTTCTAAACCAGGTGAGTGCCTAGAGGAGTGGATGTGCGCGATTTATTCCTGCCGTCCAAGTGTTCCTTGATGCAAACTTTCAAAATCAGCTAAAGGATGGTACCAGCGATGGTTTGGGCTACCGACCGACGTCAGTAACGACCATCAAAGATTTCGGAACAAAAACATAACAGTCAGAAAGAGGAAGAGATTCTGCATCGAATACCGTTTAGAGCGTTTGTCTATCGATTCTGAGTGATTTGAGCACAGGTCTGAAAAACGGCAAGTACTTTAGGACCGACCTAATATGATAAAAGGTTTGGCGAAAATTTTCAGGCACTTTTGGTTCTTAAAATCATTATAGACATGGTAAAAAATACTAAAAGGCCCATGTCAATGGGCAGTGATGCACTGACGTTTATAGCACTTGGTCATATCCGTCATTTCGCTTCATCAAATGAATTTTATTTTTTTCCAACCTGAGTGTCTAGAAGTAATAATTGTCGTTTTTCTTACAAAGAACTTAACAATGCTAAAGCATTTTAATGCAGAAAATTGCTGCTCTTTCAGTGACAAGCGCCGTTTCTGTAGCAACATAGATGTCGTGAATGTTAAATTTGTTCTATTCTTGTGCCAAATGTCCTCGCTCGTTGTTTTCAATTTGTAGTTCGATTTCTAGACTTTGATGGTTTAGACTTTTCACATTCTCCCTCCCCTAGCATGCGAAACGTAGAGTTTAGATGTTTGATCTCGTCATTTCGTAAAGAATCTAATGCTAATTCAACGCAGTATGCTGCGGCCATTCGGATTATTTCCAATCCAAACTATCAAAAATTCGACCAAAACAAGAAAGTAGAAATTGGAGTACAAGACAATTTTATATCTATTTCGTCCAAATGAAGTCCAGCAACTGAGAATTACCAGATTCACTTAAATATCCGTAAAAACGAAATTTCTTGAGCAACAAATGCTTTTCTCCTTTTTTCTTCCAAGGGTAAAAATCAAAAACATTTCGCGGTCTTGTCTGGTGGTGGGAGAGAAATTAAAACCAGAATTTATTTTTTTAAGTATTATTTAAATAATGGATTGAAATTTTTATGTGAGTATGGTCGCTAAAATTCACAATTCCACATTTACGCTTACATAAGTTAGTTAAGAAATCTTTGAAGTGTCGATTTCAGGATTGCAATAATAATAAGTATTTTTAAACCTGTCTCCTTGAATTTACAGAAATAAACTCAATTGGTGAGCCTGAGTATCCTTTGTGGAAACCGATTCCCAAAATTTTTTCGACTTTTCGTGTTTTCCTAAATGGACATGTACTTCTTTGAACGATAATGTGAAAGGGGTAGAATTTTAGTCATCTAAGCGAGGTCATATTTTTATAATTCTTAATACATAACTTCTTTTAAATAAATACACAGTATGGAAAAATAACCGATTGTTGATTGGCATCAAAGACCACAAAAAAATTTGCTAACCATTGTTAAATGTCTTGAGGTTTTTCTAGAATTGCATCTCTCTTTTACCGATTAAAAAAAAAGAATCAAATAATCTGTCTAGGTATTAGGCAAATGTTACAAGAGCACCTAATATCATAGCATACTTAGAAAAAAATGTCTCGCTACAAATCTCTTTTTTACTGACTTCTGGATGCCTCAATGATTGGAATAGAAGACTCATAAACATAATAGAAAGTAGCCTATTATGCGCTTACTGTGAAGCATGGCCTAAACAGCAGAATTATTTAAAGAAGGAAACACAGGGAATCAAAAAGGATAATGATCTTCTTGCAGCATTTCAAGGACTTAATTATATTTTAATAAAAATATATCAGTCTGTGATAACCTAAAAATAGATATAGCCTTTGAAACAAATGCTTATGTCTTAATAAACATATCTTTTGCACGTCACCACTTTTCTTTCCTTCCCCCCATCCACATGACATGAGTTCCATGAGAACTTTCGGCTCTTAGATAACTTTGGCAATTTGAATGAACGATATTTCGAAGTTTAACTCACAGACACGAAAAGACCGCTAAAAGGGAAAACCATCAACGAAATTCCGCTGAATCGATCCTAAAAATACCTCATGAAAAAATGACTACATATGATCAAGATTAGGTCAAGTAGATGTAAATGCTACAGCGTTCTTTGTGGCAGCAAAAAAAAACCGTAAAGTGATTATGGGAAGTGTTATGTTATTGCCTGGATTAGGGCTTTTTACCAAATCTCTATTCTTCGCCTACGCCGAAAAAGATTGCTAGTCAGGGACGAGCAGCATGATTTTGAATAAGGCAAATATTGAAAGGAAGTGAATGACTTTAAAAGCGGTGATATGACTCAAGAATTGACAATATTTTCGGTGAATTTTGGAAAATGAAGGTGTAGCATAAGCTGAGACCAGAGTTTCTCGTGCCAGCGCCGTGCAAGCGCCGTGCATCGTGCACAGTCCCGGCATGGAGCCAGCATGGCGCTGACACTGCGTTGGAACAGCCCTGACACAGCGCGTTATTCTGGACCCGCTATAGGGCCTCCATGCAAGCCCAAAGGAGATTATGAGGGTCGCTAATATTATGACTCTTCTTTACCAGCAAGATGAGGAAGATTAGAGTATTACTCAAAAAATAGCGCATGCTTTTTGAATGCAAGTTTCTAAGGCATTCGAGTTAGCTGCACAATAAGCGCTCCAATTCAGCTTGAACTTTCTTGTCCTGCACTTCTTTTGATTTTCTCATTCTTGCCTTTTGAATACTATCTAGCACAGGTTGATTCCTTTCTAAGGGCATAGCTATATTGAGAACTTTCTGGGAATAAATTAAGGCTACGGCAGGTGTAATAAAATCGATTTATGACAATGCGATGGTAAAGAAGGTATGAGGGAGGGGAGAAAAAGAAGGAATTTGAAAGTATTTTAGAAAATTTTACTATCACGAGTTCCAAAAACGCTTTGTAAGTAAGCATTTCTTCATGTACTCCAATGCTAATGTAGAATCATTGTAAAAGCAATTTGAATCAATAACATGTGAACTTGCTATTGAGCTTTGGAGTAAATACTAGAATAGGTAAATAATATTGATAAAAAGCTGTCTATTTGTTTGAATTTGCAAAAAAAAATTCCCGTAGTTCTTTGGAAATTCTTGACATTCTCTTATAAATATAAATTCCGTTGTACAGTGACTATGATAGATAGCCAAATATTGTTTGGGAACTGATTGCTATAAAAATCATAAGACTAATAAGACTCGCATTTTTTGAAAGCACTCTAACCATTTTTATTTAAATGTTGGTAAAAATTCACTCTACCTAACATTACGGTATCTTTTTTTGCTGCGTTGAAAATTCCTAACAAAGAGCACTATATTTGCAAAATTGACTGTTGTACAATAAAAATCATAAGACTAATAAGCTAAAAAAGACCACGCTTAGCCAAATATAGTAATTTTTGCTGGCATCAGTAGTTATAAGTTTTTTTAGAAAAAAAGGCGAGAAACTCTCTGGAACAAATGCACAAGGGGCCAAACCACCAAGCTAATGACGCAAATTCAAATCAGAGTCTCATCTCATGGGTTTACAAATCCAGATTCAATTTTCGGTTTAGTTCTTGTGGTCTCTTCTCGCATCAATCAATTGTTATTTAAAATTCACAAACTTTCGGCAACATTAGGTGCATATCAAACAGATTATGTTAAGTAAGAGGAAGGCAGGCATTCGAAAACTAACCGTATTTATTCACTCCGTTGTGCTCGGCGCAGCCAACAGTTGTCTTTACCAACTGTTAAATATTGCATAGTTACTGTGAATTCACTGAAAAATTTGCAAACTTTCGATTTGTCAAACACTTGGCTAGATATCTTACCATTGATGTGTAAGATCCTGTTCTCTTTGAAGGAATTTGCACTTTTGTTTAAATGCATAAACAGCAATGTTTTGAGAAGGTCGCCGAAAGAAAAGAACTACCATCTATTTCCCTTTCTCTTGCAGATTTTCAGCTCAGAAGCTTTCAAACTTTGCTTTTCCGTTCGTAATAAATTAGTCGAGAAGAGCTTTTATAGAGCTTTAGCTGGATGATTTACGCCTCTGATAACTTTCTCGTGGTTCAAGAACTTCAATCGTCTAAAAAAGTTACATATTTCTATTTGACTTTCATTTTTCGAAATCTGTTTGGATTCAATCGTTTTAGGAAAAAACGCTGCTTTACAACTTCGCGCAGTAAACCTGACTTCTTGGTATCCCTTTTGTCAAAAAGTTATTGAATTTCTGGAGCCTTTTTGAATGAAATCCCGCATATTGGCTTCTTGCCAAGTTCTTTACCCATGGCTTGCGAAAGCAATTTCGAGAAGAAATATAAACATAAATATAAACAGCATAGACATTCTATAGCGCTAATTTTCTACTTCAGCCATGTAAGCAAGAAAAATTCTAACAAATTGCCTCGCTTATTATCTCTTCTGCTAAAAATATTGTTGTGGTTCAATTCCTGGAGCTTTATAAGGAAAACGTGCAAATCATCCAGCTTCTTGCCAAGTTTTTTCACTGCTTTTGCAGAAATATAATTCGGAAAAGAGATCGACTAGGATAGACCTATAGACATACTGTAGCATTGATGTTCCTTTTCGAGTTCAGTGAGAAAAATGCGCAAGTATTTGTGTCGATTCATTTGAAACTTTAGCACTAAACTATTGTAGTTTTGTAGCGTTTGATCTCTTTGTAATGCTCTTCTAATATTTTTGAGGCAAAGTAACTCGAAAGTGCGGCAGATAATTACATTGTAGCATCTATCATCTCTCTAATGGAGACTTTTCGCTGCTTTCCAGATCTTGTTGTGATAACCTCACAGCTTGAATGTCGTGTTTTTGCGCCGCCGTGATCATCTTCCGTCGTCTTCCGTCGTTCGATACACTAACAATTGTGTATTCGCAGACTTGGTGCCTTAAATGGGCGACCGTGAAGTTGAGCTAAAAGAAACGCCTCCAGCGGCGGCCGAAGTGTCACCACCTCCTCCTCCTCCGGCAGCCTCTGCAGTGCCGCCAAGGATGGTCGAGGAAAGTGCCGCAGAGACTGGACAAGGAGCCCCGGCTTCGGGTGGAGCTGAAAATCTTCGCAGCGGACGAAGAGTCAGCTCGGTCGAACCGGTTAAAGGTGCTCCACCTCCGAAAAGGACTAGCGTAGTGGTGTTCGAGACGCCGGACACTCCACCACCGGAGAAGTACGTGATCTTTGATCTCTACTGATCTATTGACTTTCACTTGAATTGAGGATGGTGATCTATATCATTATGGTATTATAGCGGAGCCCCTAAGTAAGTGATCGCTCAAGTTTCGCTGCAAAAGACGTATTTCAAAGCGAGAAAATTGCTTCAGAAGGTAGGAGCGGCTAAGGCAGCCCCGCCCATCAACGTGGGCGGTCTGAAGTGTCCAAAATTAAACTTCAAGGCAGACAGAAATGTCGAAATTCTGAACTCATGATGAAGGGGGATGACAATTCTAGACACGTCGAAACCCAGTTCTGGGCTTATTATCTTCAGACCACCCACGTTGATGGGCGGAGCCGCCCCAGCCGCTTCCGCCTTCTGGAGCGATTTTCTTGCCTCGGAGTTCGTCTTTTGCAGTGGGACTTGGGCAATTACTTACTTAGGGATTCCGCCGTTATACGGCATCAAAATATACCTCAATTTGGGTGGACGCTGACTTTGACTCAAAGATGAATTCGACTAGCAGACAGTATGAATTAACAAACAGCGCTGAGATTGCATAACCCAATCGGGTGGCGGCCGTGATTAATGCGAGTTGTCTGTTTTGCGATGTGACGATCTCTTAACGATAGGAGATGCGCTGCGCCGTAGTCGGCCGTTCAATTCTAATCCCATATCTGTATTATATCACACCATACATCAATATAATCTAACTATTTCATTTTCACTGCATCACAACACCTCTAAAGTTAGTTTTTTTGCAAGATTTATCGCATTTACAACGACTTCCATTATAATCTGCGATCAAACCACAGTGTATTTTCAAATGTTTATAAACCCTCCTTCAACATCCTAAAAACCATCTGCTTCGCAAATCTTGCTAAAGACGATTTTACCTCTGTCCTAATAGGGTAAATGCAAAAACCGCGCCCCTAAGAAAGTGGAAATCGTCCCATAAAGTGGTAATGAGGTCGTCACCTTAGGTCGTGAAATCATTCTCGTAACGACGCCATAAACCATTACTGAGGCTAACGACTCAATAATAAGATTTATGTAAGTAAATTCTATCCCCCCCCCATTTCCAATATTAGTTATCTTCTAGGGAATTTGCGTTGGAGTTAACTGGAAAACAAGCAAAAAGTTTCATGCAAAAAATAATCGTTTCCTGACAATAGACAGTTTGATAAAGGAGTTTTTCTAAAAAGTAATAATCTGACATCAACTGTCTACTGATTTTTGACGCACTTCATCATCAACTTAAGCTGTATAGTTCGGAAAAAGAATTTTGGGTTTTTAAACTGCTGAATTTCATGAATTTCGGATTTTTAGTAGAAAGGAGCCAGTCAAAAAGCTGGTAAAAAATTCTATGCAAAAACTTCTGATTACAGTCTCAATTTCGGCAATTTGAGCTAGGTTATAAACACTAGAATACAATATCTGATGAAGCACAAATATTATTGGGTTAAGAACACTTTTTCCAAACTAGGACTTAATTAAGCTGCTATCATTGTTCTGTCAAAGCAAAAAAGCAGATGAGAAGCTATGGAATTTAATTTACGACCAGGGGTGGTGTCTCGAAAAAGGAGAGTTATAGTAGGAAGGAACAGAACCTATTTGAATCACAAGGATGTTCCTCGCTTTCCGGATGAATAATGAAAAAATGAATGCGCCATAGTCAATTTCTACAGTAACCAGTCATGGGATCTGTTACAGTAATCACTAATCGGATTAGGCGCAAAAAGGGCAAATTTTTCTTGTTTTGCATTGGGTAGTTTGCAAAAACTTGAATAGCTAATCAAATTCTTAATGAAAACATCAGTAAGCGCTCGGGTAATGACTTTTGACATTTATTGAACATTCCAGTAGTTATGTATCTCTCGCGTAAATTTTATTGATCATTAAATCAGAGATTTAGAAGTGTGATGCTAGAAAGTGATCGCAAGGGTTTTTTTAGCACGTTATAAGATTTTGAAAGTAAGCAGTTGGTCAGTAAGATGTCTAATTTCCATGAGTAGTCCCTTTATGCTCAAAACTCTGAATCGAATTTATGCGATTTAAAAATTTTGAGTCGTAACATTAAGTTTTGTTGCACTCGAAGTAAAAAATCTTCGTAAATTTTCAAATGATTTGGCACATTTTCGAGTTACGTTGAGGTTTGTAATTATCGGTGTATTCATGTCACATGCAAAAACACCGATTTCTGACTTCCTTAGAATTTATTCCAGTTGTTCTTGGCAAAATTCCAAAATGCGTTATTGCAGCTTGAACTTGCGCACTAACTTCAAGTTGGTACTGGTGTTTTCGAAAACCCCTAAAAAATCTCAAAACAAAAAAAGCAAGAATGAGAGAATTTCTAGAAAAAAATAACAGGTGGAGGTTGCAGAGCAAACAAAACTTTGTCATCAACCAAACATGCATGATTTTTGTTTGCCGCGGTGGCGCAGTTTGGACGCCTCCGAGTCGCAGAGAGTGAACATGTTTTGAAGATACGCAGACAATTAGAACCGCACCGTCGCAACGAATGTTATGCATGGTTTCATTGATGACAAAGCATTTCTGATATCTGAATTAAAATTTGCAAAATATTACATAATTCTCTATTTTTGTACAAACAACAAGCTCATGACCGGACATAACTTTTATGACGCACCCTGACGGTAAATTCTGTAACTAAAAAGCAGACATATGCAAAGCATGTGATCAGAAAAACTCTCGATGTCTTACCAAATTGAGTGATAAGGAAATTATTACTATAAAAAGGATTCACAAATATAAGCTGATCATCTTCTTATTCGATCGTTTTCAGAGGAAACTCTTGGCTCCGGCAATTTTCAATTAGCAAGTTTACACGGTAAGCTGATTAGTACCTGGCTGCTATCAGTTTAAAAAAGAATATATTATCGGACTGAGTTTCTTCAATGAAGTACTAATTCTTACATTGTCTCAAAAGCTCATACCAAATAAGAGTATTTTCTTGCATTTTGGGATCTTAATTTACACTTTATATGCTAAGATTTTTCTCAAGATTGGGTTATCACGAAAACAGGCTTCTTTATTTACGAATATTGAAATAGTCGCTGAAAAGCTCTCACCAAACTAAGGTAATTTTGTGGCATTTTTGGTCGTGATTCACAAATCATGCTAAATTTTCTTCGAGATCAGAGTTAACAAAAAATATGCCACTTTTTTGCAATGGGATAGTGTAATGGTGAGGATATTATTTCCTTATTTCGCCTTTCACCTGTAAAGCGAAGAAGAACTTAAAAGGAATAAAGTCAAGGAAGAAGACTAAGAAACAGTTTTTTTTCATCAGAACGTAGTACGAGTGTCCAAAGCTCTACTCCACTACAGAATTTTTTCAAAGTATTTACTGTTCATGGTGGCCAAGATTACTGTGCTTGTTAGTGCTTTGTGATACATGGCATTGGTTAGCTCAGAGTGGTTAGATCACCTTATCAATTTTGTTACAAGTAATTTTCGTCAAATAGCCGACGCTAAGTAATTTGACTCACTTTCTTCAATTTTCGCATCTCTAGATCAAGCCATTTGGCCTACTATGAGTCTATCTTATGTATACTCTAGCAAAAATTGTGTCGATTTCCAACTTTGAGCAAGATTTTATTTTTGTGGAACAAGCAACTGAATAGACAAAGAAAGGATTGCGCGAACTCCAATTTTCATTCTCATAAATACAAGACGAAAAATTTTTTGCTAAGTAGTGAGAAACGCGCTATATTAAACTGTGAAGCGGAAATTTACAAAAAAAGGAAGAAACAATCATCACCTCTTGGATTCGTTTACAATCAAAATCGTGAGCAGTGATGATATCGTAAAACTCACGGAATTGTGTCACTAATAGCACTTGCAAGAATCATTTTGTAACAAAAAGTTTAAAAGTACCAAAGCATATCGTCTAGTCAATTGTAAAATATGCGTATTGCACAACATGCGCGCAACTTGACGACTTGGATTAAAAACTGCTCATTAACAGTAATTTTCGCTTTGTCTCCTTGTCATTTTTGAGCTGAATGAATATGTATTGATTAGTAGTGCACATTTCTACAGTTTGTTACGCTAGAAAGGTTTTACCGAGGAATTAAGTAGATAGTAAGAATGTCGTCGGCTGGCGCGCATATTGTGCAGATTCACACATTAGGTTACAAGTGACGGAAGATTGATACAGCCTGAAAAGTGTTCGATGTGCGAATACGTTACTTCACGACTACCAAGAGTTTTTGATTCAAAAATCGGTAAGAGCAAAAACATCTCGCGTTCATATTCACTGAAGTGGAATTTACAAAGTAGTTGTTCATTCAGCAGTTTGTCCAATAGTCATAGTTTTCCTGCCATTAGTGAATTTGACTAGCTTTTCCTGAATAACTCACACTTTACAACTACAAAATAAGAGTTTGTGCAGACTCAGACTCTTGCAATCAACGATTTGCCACAAAATTTTCGACTAATTTCGAGAAAATATTTTTACACTACCTCCAAATTGTTTCTCTTGAAATGACCATTTCTCTTGTCCGTAAAACGTTCAAAATCACACGAAAACAGCCTGCAGTGTTTCTTAAAATAACATTTGAATATTTCTTCTCATTGCTGTTCAAAAAATCATATGAATCATTCAAATCGCGGCTCAATCAACGACTTAATTGCTTGCACGATGCACGGTCTTCGCCTACGATACCACATCATAGCCTGCATATTATTCCCTCCTACATTTATCCAGAAATTTCCTGCAATTTTCTTTTTTGGATACTCTTTCACGATGTTTGTCTCCCTTATGAAAACCGCGCAAAGCGTTTGTCTTGTTCTAATAATCATTTTTTTGTGAATTTGAAAGCATTTCTACAATCTAGACAATACAGAAAAAATTGTCTTTATCTTGCCTAGACAAGAAAACTATATGAGTTGACAAAAATTATAAAATTGTCGAATGACTTTTTCCGTTTCAAAATCCTCTTAGGCTGAATAATATGAAAGATTTTTGTGGTTTTTTAAATCCAAAAACGTTACTATAACCACAAGGAGCTTCTG